TCTATTTATGAAGAGAGTAGTATACAGGTTTTGCTCAACATTGCACAAATTCAATATCTTGCCATTGAAACGCATATATCCTGCTATAACTATATACTACAATACTTCTGCATGGTGTAAATATTCATTATATTCTCACTGCACATCCAGAATTTCCAGCTAAATGTAATTACAATGCCTGGACCAGCATATACCAGAGTTTTTTGGAGATGTCTTTTTTCAGCATTGACAAATGCCAGTAAATGCAGATACCGGCATTTTAATAGCTTGAATCCTGCAAGCAAGCAGAAGATAGTGATAAGCTGTCTTCTGCTCTCAGGATTGAAACTGAGTCAAAGTGGATATGCCTGGCCACTGAAGGCCAGCAAGCACTGTGAGGTGGGAGTGTGCTAGGAGAGGCAGGAGTTTACATGTGGTCAGCGGAATTTTTGTTTAATTTTTAGGTTTCAGGGTCCAGTCAACCTAGGTACGAGTTCTGGATACCCGCAATCTGTTAACCCGGGGGTTTACGGCATATAATTGCAAATTGTTGTTCACTAGGAGAGAGAAGCAAATGTCAGAAGGAAACATGAGGTGGAATATATGTTCAATCATTTTTAAAATAAATGGGGTGAAAACTGCCGTTTGCTGTTTTGTGATAATTGTTATATTATAAACACATATTTTTCACACGTATAGTTTGGGTGAAGTGGATCATCCAGTTCTGCTGGAAGTGTAAGTATCAGAGCAATCTACTGGTGGTGTATGCTTGCACTTTGTTTGTTAATTGTTTAGCTTTGGACTCTTGGAGTTGGAATCTGATATTCGCAGCTTTCCCACATATTTGGCTTGCAGATTGCAGGTGGTTACTTGCTTAACTCTGATTTGTTTTGTTTAGTTATGCTAAGCTGGTATCCCACAGACCAATGCTTTGACCCACAAGCAGGAAGTCCTAAGAACAGTATGAATGAGTTCTTGGCTCAACCATTGAAAAGTGTGGCGGGGGCCAGGGATTTGCCTCTAACATACCCAAAACCTGTCAATGTGTTAATTATTAGCAGCTCACTTTATTTCAATGTCATCACAATTTTTACCCGAGAATATCGTAAAGTACAGCAGGACATACTTCCAAAATATCTGCATAACATTTATGATATGAATTATTAATTTCTTGAATTTACAAGTTCTTATTGGTTTGAAACTAATTGAGTGATTAAAAGCACTATTTTATTTGATGTAATTTGTTGGGGAGGTGTTAAATTCTGCTTAAGAAAAGCACTCGGAGATGCCATCCAGCATAAATGCAAGCTTTGTTATTGTATGAAAATGTTCTTAAAGTATTGTTCTACAGATTATTATGTTTGTATCAATTATATACAATAAGACAGTGAAATGATTTTAAAAATCTTTACATTTCTATACATCTATACATTCAGCCAGTCAGCGGCACAAGAGCGAGGGGCGGGGCGAGGTGAGCAGGCCGTGTCAGAGGTTAAAACACCAGCGAGAAAATTAAAAAGTGACGTCAGAGCGACATCAGTATCAACAGTAAACTAACAACTATCAACACATCACACACCACGGACTTAACCTGATCAACTTAATTAGATCAACTTGATTGAGTTAAAACCTAATTAACCAAACCTAATTAATTAACTAACTCAAGTTAGAAGAGGTGACGATGACGTGGCAGGTGTTATGTGAGGAGTGTGACATGTGGGAGCTGATGAAGGGCAGTCTAACCCCGGGTGACCACATCTGCAGAAGATGTCTGCAACTGAGGCAGCTCCAGCTCAGAGTGGCTGAGCTGGAATCCGAGGTGCAGACACTATGGAGTATCAGAGACAGTGAGTGCTTCCTGGATAGCTACATCCTGCAACCAATCACTCCCCTGAGGGAATATACACTCAACATTGATTATGGTCAGGATAGGTCAATAGACAGTCAGAAGGTCGGGGGACAACGGAAAGAGTGGTAGTAAATCCGGCATTAACCTTGAACAACAGGTATGAGATCCTTGGAACTTGTATCGACAAGGAAGCCGGTGAGGTGGAAGGAAAAACTACCTCTAACACTGGGGCAAAAGAGCCCCAGGATGGTTGTCGTCATTGGGGATGAGACTATGAGGCAGACAGACACAATCATCTGCAACGCCAACCAGAAGACCAGAAGGCTTTGCTGCCTCCCTGGGGCCGGGGTGAAGGATGTCTCGGCAGGGCGAGAGGACAATTTAAAAGATGAGGGCAAGGATCTGTTGGTGGTACTTCACATAGGTACCAATGACATCGGTAGAGTAGACCAAGATGACTTGAGAAGGGAATTCGCAAAGCTGGGGTCCAAATTGAAGTCGAGATCATTGAAGGTGGTAATATCGGGACTACTGCCTGTACCATACGACAATTGGTACAGGAACAAACAAATTAAGGACTTGAACGCATGGCTAAAAGAGTGGTGCGGAACTCAGGGGTTTCTTTTTATGGGCCATTGGCACGAATATTAGGGGAAAAGAGAGCTCTTTCAGAGAAAAGGGCTGCATTTAAATCGTGCTGGGATAAATGTCCTAGCTAAACGAATTAACAGGGAAATAAATAGGAATTTGAACTAGTAAAGGGGGGGAATATATAGGGAAGAGAAACCATAAGTTAGCACTAGAAAAAGATGACAGTGCAGAATAGCATGCCAGATAACAGGAATATGTTAACTAGGGGTAAGAAGTTTGGCAAAGTAGATAAGGAATCAGAGAGTAAAGGAAATGGTAGGAAATTGAAAATGTTATATCTGAATGCGCGAAGCATTTGGAATAAAACTGATGAATTAAAAGCACAGATAGACACATATGGGTATGATCTAGTAACCATCACTGAAACATGATTACAAGGAGATCTAGGGTGGGAGTTAAATATTCCAAGGTTCTCAGTTTACAGGAAAGATAGGCACTGTGGGAAAACAGGTAGCCCTGTTAATTAGGGATGCAATAAAAGCAGTGGAGAGGAAGGATCTGAAATCCGATGACCAGAAGGTCGAGACAATATGGGTGGAAATAAAAAATAATAAAGGGCAGAAAATATTAATGGGAGTGGTTTATAGACCCCCAAACAGCGATCACAATATAGCACAGGGTATCAATCAAGAAATCAGTGGAGCATGTAGGAAAGGTAAAGCGATAATAGTGGGCGATTTCAATCTCCACATAGATTGGGAAAACCAAAATGGCAAAAGTAGGTCAGAAGAAGAGTTCATTGAGTGTATGAGAGATAACTTTCTAGAGCAGCATGCCGAGGAACCATCGAGGGGACAGGCCATCCTAGACCTTGTTTTGTGTAACGAAACAGGGCTCGTTGGCAGTGTAGGTATTAAGAATCCTCTTGGGCAAAGTGGTCACAATATGATTGAATTCTGCATTAAGTTAGAGAGGGAGATAGTTAAATCCAAGGCAAGTATCCTGAATTTAAATAGGGCTAATTTTGTAGGTATGAGGAAAGATGTAGGTAAAATAGACTAGAGAATAAGATTAAGAGGTAAAAATGTAGACCAACAATGGCAAATATTTAAGGTTGTAGTGCAAAATTCTCAGCGGTCGCATATTCCCTTGCGGAATAAGAGTACCACAGGAAAAGCAATTCATCCGTGGCTAACTAGAGCAGTTAGAGAAAGCATCAAATTAAAAGAAAAGGCTGATAAAACTGCCAAGAAAAGCAGCAAATCTGAAGATTGAGAGAGTTTTAGAAACCAGTAAAATAAAACTAAAAAACCAATTAAGAGCGAGAAAAAGGAGTATGAGGGTAAGCTAGCTAGGAACATTAAGTCTGATTGTAAAAGTTTTTACAAATATATTAAGAGGAATAGGCTAGTGAGTGTAAATGTAGGTCCACTTCAGTCAGAGACCCTAGAAGACACAACAAGTCTGCCAACAATAGAGATGCACCAAGGGTATAAGGACAGGGAGCAACGTAGGGAAATTTTCATCAGTAGAGAATTGGTGCTAGGGAAACTGTTAGCACTAAAAAGTGACAAATCCCCTGGTCCGGATGGCTTGCATCCCAGGCAAAGAGGCAGCTTATGAGATAGTGGAGGCCTTATGTCTGATCTTCCAAAATTCCTTGGATTCTGGAACCGTCCCCATGGATTGGAAGATCGCAAATGTCACACCGCTGTTTAAAAAAGGTGGTAAGGAAAAGATGGGGACCTATAGGCCAGTTAGTCTCACATCAGTGATAGGAAAATTTTTAGAATTATTGATTAAGGATGTGGTAGTGCGGTATTTAGGGGAGCACAATATAATTAGGCCAAGTCAACATGGCTTTACAAAAGGGAAGTCATGTTTGACGAATCGCATAGAGTTTTTTGAGGTATTTCCAGATCTTGTTTCATCTGAAGGGTGGTTCCTCCAAAAGGATAGTTCACCTTGAGCAATGCTTTGAAGAGTTAGCCTAGGCCTTCTGAGTTCAAAGTCCCGACATGGGGCTTGAACGCACTACCTTCTGAGTCAGAGGCGAGAGTGCTACTAACTGAGGAGCCAGACTAACCAATGAAAAAAAGTAAAATATTTTCATGAAGGGGAAAGGGGAAAAATTGGAAAACAAAACTGTAACATTGGATTTTAAATATTAACTAGTTCTGTGGTATAAACATAATTTATGACGATGACTGAAGCATGTGATCAATGCTCATGATACTGACATTAACTCATTTTTAACTTCGTCAGTTGTAAATTCTCGGGCCCAGCCCACTGAGATATGAATCATCTACCAATGTTCCTTATCTTGTATCTTTTTTCCGAGTTTTGTTTCATTACCTGTGTTAATGAAAGTCTTTCGTCTTTTGTATTCAATATAACTTCATTTGTAATATCTTACGAATCTTGCCATCGGGACTTCAGATAAAATGATACTTTCTGTGTTTACATTTACTCTGATTACAGATTTAACAAAAATAATCTTTAGGTGCATGCGTTTCGATAGATTATTTAATTTGTGAATGCACTGTTGCCAAAATGTTACTTAGAAAAGTTTCAGACTTACCCCAAAATCTTTCAATCCCTCGCACATGTATTCATAAGTTAAAAACTGGAGCGCTTGGACTAATTTTATTCCGCACCTTGAAAAATGCTTTCATCTATTCATACGCAGTTGTATAGAGCTGGAGAAAATCCCGGAAGTGGCAGTATAATTGTAAATTGAAGTTTATTGTCTGCAATATGTACTTAAGGGTTCAACCATCCCTCTTGCCAAATGAACATTTAACCTCTTTGTGCCCATGCAGATTTTTCAAAGCAGTTTTGCTTCATAAATATTCCTTCACCCAAAATCAGTTTAATGCGAATTGAATCAAACTTATAATCTGTGAGCCTGGCTCCGTTGGTAACACTCATCAGGAGGTTGTAGGTTTAAGCCCTAAATTGGAAGCACTGTTGCCATCCTTCAAATGATAGTAAACTGATAGTCCTGACTGTCATTAAAGATCCCTTGGCACATATGAAAAGGGAAGTTTCTCCTGGTTTCCTGTCAAACAATCATCTGGATAAATTAATCCTCGCTGTGCTCCACTTGCTAGCATCACCCCCAGTGGATCAAGTTCAAGATGCTTGTTCTCACCTTTAAATCCCTCAATGGCCTTACACCACCCTATAACACAGGCCGGTTTCATCTCCTCTACTCTATCCACTCCACAATCAATGAGTGAACTTTCAGCCATTCTGCCCCTCGCTCTCTGGAACGTCATCATGGAGTCCCTCAAACTCACTCCCACCCTCCTCATTTTTAAAGCCTGCCTCAACACATACGTTTTTGATTCATGCTGTCGGTCATATCATCTCCACCCTCTTCAGCTTTCAACCCCCAGCTCAGGTCAGGTTTCCATTCAGTAGTGTCAAGAGGTTTTAGATCTCCTCATGACAACAAAGGGCCTGTATCAAATGTGTTTTTTTATGACTGCTTCCTTCCTGATCCTGTGCCAGGAAACCAAAAAAGGGCAGTTCCCTCCTTGAGTCAGTGAATCTAAACATTGGCTGTGAGGGCAGTACAAATTAACCTAATCCTAGTCTAACTCAATGTAGACTTTCCTGCAGAGCCCACTGAATAGTGGTCAGTCCTATTTGTCTACGGATGCTAGGCCAATTCTGGTGCCCCAAATGACAATAACAGCTTACAGTAATAAAGGACCCTCCACGTAGGGTAATGTCTCAGAGCGCTGCACAATAATGGGCTGGACGCTGAGCAATGAAGAATGGGGAGTGTAAAAAGTTGGGATTATAGTAAAAGAATCAATAGTATTGATCATGTAGTGAATAGATGAATTAAGTAGAATGAAATAAAGAAACAAAAACTGCCACATAAAAATACACACACAAACACACTCCTAGTAAAGGGGCACCGAGCTAGCAGGAGTACACTGGAATCTGACCCAGGGCAAGGGAAGATAAGGATAGCTGGATCTAAAGGATGGATGGTAGGCCACCTGCGCTTACAAGGGCATGTGACCTACAACAACAACAACAACTACTTGGATTTATATAGCGCTCTCCACGCCGGACGGCATCTCAGAGCGCTTTACAGTAACGGATCCTGGGGCCGAGTCAGGGGGAGGGGGAGGTAGGTGACCAAAGGCGCAATCGAAAAGAAAGGTCTTCAGCAGAGACCTGAAAATGGGTAGGGAGCGAGGCGAAGGGAGTGAAGAAGGCAGTTCCAGAGCTTTGGGGCATAGTGGCTGAAGGCACGGCAGCCGAGGGTGGAGCAGAGGATTCGAGGGACAAGGAGGAGGACAGACCCGGAGGAACGGAGGCAACGAGTACTGTTTTGAGGAGAGAGATCAGAGAGGTAGGGGGGTGAAGAGGAGTGCAGGGACTTGAATACAAGGGTGAGGATCTTGAAATCGATCCTCTCTGGGACAGGGACCCAATGCAGGCTGGCAAGGACTGGGGTGATCGGGGAGCAGAGTTTCATGCGGGTGAGAATGCGGGTGGCAGAGTTTTGAATGATATGGATTTTATGGATGGTAATGGAGGGGAGACCGGCGAGGAGGGCATTAGAGTAGTCCAGCCGAGAGGTGACAAAGGCATCGACCAGGGTTTCAGCGGCTTTTGGGGAGAGGTATTGGCGGAGACAGGCGATCCGTCAGAGGTGGAAGAAAGCAATGCTGGTGAGAGACCGGATGTGGGGGAAGAAGGATAATTGGGGGTCGAACCTGACGCCGAGGTTGCGTATGGGCTCAGAAAGTTTTAGGGGGAGGTTGGGTAGGTGGAGGAGGTGAGAACCATGAGATTTTAGATGTTGACGAGAGCCGAAGAGTATGGCTTCCGTCTTGTCAACGTTCAGCTGAAGGAAGTTTGCGCTCATCCAGCTCCTGAGATCTGACAGGCAGGCAGACAGAACATCAGGGGACTGGGGTTCGTAAAGAGAGGTGGAAAAATGGAGTTGGGTGTCATCTGCATACATGTGGAAGTGTACCCCATGTCTGCGGATGACATCCCAAGAGAGAGCATGTAGATCAGAAAGAGGAGGGGGCCAAGGATGGATTCGGGTGACAGCGGGAGGAGAAGCTGTTTGTGCAGATGTACTGCTGGCGGTTTGCGAGATAGGACTCGAACCAGACGAGTGCGGTCCAACTGAAGTGGATGACAGAGGAAAGGCGGTGGAGGAGGATGGCATGATTGACTGTGTCGAACGCGGCAGAGAGGTCCAGGAGGACAAGGAGGCAGCGGGAGTCCTGCTCACAGATAGAGAGGATATCGTTTGTGACTTTCACAAGCGCAGTCTCTGTACTGTGGGCAGGGAGGAAATCGGACTGGAGGGGTTTGAAGAGGGAGTGGGAGGAGAGGTGTGTGCAAAGTTGATTGGCAACAATGCATTCTAGGACTTTGGCGAGGAAGGGCAGGTTAGAAATAGGGCGGTATTGGCTGGGGTTTGAGGGATCTAGGGAGGGTTTTTTCAGGAGGGGTTGATGACAGCAGTTTTGAGGGGGGCAGGGACTGATCCAGAGGAGAGGGACTGGTTGATGATGTCAGCCAGTAGTGGGCAGAGGAGGGGGAGCTGGGTGACCAGTAAGTTGGTGGGGAGGGGGTCGAGGTAGCGGGTGGTGCGTTTCATGGAGGTGATGGTGGGTGAGAGGGAGGAGGGAGAGATGGGGAGGAAGGAATGTAGAATGGGGGTGGTGGTAGGAGCAGATAATGAGGAAGGTGAGGGGGACAGAGAGGGCGAGGTTGTGGGTGACAAGCGGCAGGTGGATGAGGCTGCCTGGCGGATGTTAAGTATTTTAGATGAAAGAAGTCCATGACCTCCTCGCATTTGGCATTTGTCACACTTGACCTATGGGCAGGAGAGATAGGAATCTGGGATAATTGGACCAGGAAAATAGATGGGATGCAAACTAATAATTAAAACTGAGAAAAAACTTAAAGTGAGCAGGTCACATGGACAGAGTTAGAAAGAAGGACTGAAACTTCAGGGACATGGAGTCAGGTGGTTTGGTCAGGCTACAGAAGATGGAATAGTAGGAGTATTGTTCTTTTGCAGAAGCTACCCTAGCTGGTATAAGGAGAAATAACTTGAAGATAGGGAAAGAATACCTGGGAAAAGTGCAGAGAGTGGGAAAGAAGCCATGAAAAAAAGTGTTAGAACGCAGATGGCTGGCGAAAAAGGGTATAAAAATCGATAGCTAAAACTAGTTTACTCGAAGCCTCTGAGGAGAGGAAGGGGACAAACCTCTATGGAGAGGAAGAAGAGTGCCTTTGAGGGAAAGAGGACAAAACAGTTAGAGATTATTTAGGCACATTTCCTATATCACATTTTTTTAATATATGTTTAGAATTTTAATATTGAGTGTATCTTGTTAAGATAATGATTTAGTAGTCATTTAAGCGCGACGAGTAATGATAATGCGTCAGGGTAATGCGATGCTTATGCTTGTATGGTTTTATAATTGCTAATAAAATGTTTTAATAATATCCTTTGTGTGGCTTCTGACAAACGCTTGAACCCAATTTCACAGGAGGTATCCAGAAGCATGATCAAAAAGATTGATTTTAAAGTATGATTTAAGATACAGAGGGAGTGAGGCGGGGAGATGGAGGCGGGGAGATATAGTGGTTTGGCCATAATGACTAAAGCCTTGATCATTGAAGGTAGCAAGGGAGGGCAGGGGACACACAGCAGGCCTCTGTTGGCTGGGCAGACAGGAAGTGGCTAGGAATAGAAGTAGAGTACGAGCGGATAACAACTGATATCAAGTAACTCAACACAAACTGGGAAATGGACCTGGGACTTTCTGATTTGGATGGCTTAGTGACAAGTCAGGTGATCACTCACCGGCCGATAGTGCAGGGGAGCTGTAAGGCATTTTCATGCCTGTTTAGGGGAATGGGAGAAAAGAGAAAATAATGTAAAAATAGGAGACTCACAACCTCAAAATAAAAACCAGAAGTGTAACAAATTACTATTTGTATTAAATCTTCAGTTCAAAGGAAAATTTCTTTCCAAGGTTAAACACAAAAATTCTGAAATTCCACCCAGTCTTAACCTTCGGACTACTTTGTGTTAAGATTGCAAAGAATTGTGGAAATTTCTTCAATTAAATTTTACTTTGGCAACCGGTTAATCTCAAAAACTGCATAAAAATAGCTTCGAAATTAAGACCAAAGTTTCCAGAATTTTCCACAATTTTGGGTGATCTTAGATTTCAAGATGAAATTTGATCTTGCAGACCAATCTCAATGGAATTTCAGGCCTCTTTGTGGCTCAACTTTCCATAGAAAATAAGATTTGCCTGGCCTTTTCTTAGGATAGAAACCTGCACAATTGTAACATAATTCTTCTTATTTTATTTCAAGCAAATGATAACCCATTGCATTCATATAATTTGAGTATCTGTAAAAATGAGTACACATAATCTGCACTTAAATGCTCTAAGATGCTACCAGTATGTGAAGGGTGCTAAATAAATGTAAATAGTTGTTGATGTTGTTCTGATTCATCCTCCTCTTCTCTGCCTTCTTTTCTGTTGCTGCTTCTCACAGATAAACAGAGATCCCCCATTTTCTCTCCAGTTTCGTGCCTCCGAACATTTGTAAATTGTTAGGGATTATCAGAACTCAAATTCTAAAATACAAGTGCTTTCCACGAAAATAGATGTCTTATTTCATGTTGCCAACATTTAGAAAAGTGATGAGTCAACCAGCAAGCTGTCAAGTCCTTAAGTTAATCTATAGTCCCAGTCTCTGTACATCAGATGATTTGAAGATTTAAATGCTTATTTAGTAAAATATTAAACTTTCTTAAATGATCCATTACAATAAAAACTGCTTAGAGATGTGTTGCAAAAACTCTACCCGCAAACATTTCCCCTCACTAATTACCAGAACATTACATCCTTGAAGTTTTACGAATCTGCCCCTTATTTATTCCTGGTCCCATACAAATGATAAAGGGAAGTCCTTCATTTTTTCTTGGAAAATCCTGTCAAACATCTCAGATTGGGCAACAGTGAAATGAGTTTTCCAGTCGCCAATTGTGCCTGAAAGCAAAAAAAGAGAACTCATTAGCATTATTATACAGAACAACTTGCATTTATATAGCACCCCTCAAGCAGGGTAGCGTCCCAGAGCAGTTGATAGTGGTGGAGTACGACACCGAGCCAGGGCGAGGTGAACATCAGCATGGTCGAAAAGGAAAGTCTTCAGGCATGCCCTGAAGATGGAGAAGGAGGGGGCAAGGCAGAGGGATTAAGGAAGAGTGTTTCAGAATTTCAAGGCATAGTGGCTGAAAGAGAGGCCACCGATGGTGGAATGGAGGGCATCAGGGACAAGCAGGAGGCTAAAGCCAGCTGAGTGAAGGCAACCAGTAGTGAGTTGGGGAGTAAGCAGGTTGGAGAGGTAGGGAGATGCCGGGCATGAAGGGATTTGAAGACAAGTGAGAGGATCTTGAAACTGTTTGGTGATTAGGAGCCCGTTGGGTTTGGCAAGAACTGGTGTGACGGGGGTACGGAGTACAGTGCGGCTGAGTGTGTGGGTGGCAGTGTTTTGGATTAGCTACATTTTGTGGATCGTGGAGCTGGGGATACTGGTGAGGAGGGCATTTGAGTAGGCGAGACAGGAGGTGATGAACGAACTGAGGTAAACGGCCAAAATCCATATTGGAGTGCACAATCAAGGTTCAAGAAAGAAACAGCAGCAGCCCCGCCTTCAAATCCCTTCATGCCCTGGTACCTCCCTACCTCTCCAATATGCTTACTCCCCAACCTACTACCCATTGCCTCCCCTCAGGTGGCTCTGGCCTCCTGCCTGCCCCATAAGGACAGAGCTGCACCGTACGGACTATCAACAACAACTTTATATAGCGGCTCACACAACGGCTTGACTGGGAGCTCCTTGTCTGAATCCCAGTCCATGCTGGTTTCAGCCAGGGATGCATGGCAGAGGCTAAATTGGCCTGGCCTTGTCAGGATCAGGGAGACAGGATACCTGCTCCAGATCCCTCTGCAGCACTCTTTCCTGGTTGTGTGCACGTATGGCAGTCAAATGGGGAATAGGCCAAGCTTAGCTCTGACAGACTCTACTGTTGAACAGTAGACACTTAGATGGGCAGGGGGTGAGAAGGGCTTGGCATTGGAATACAACCAGTGCTCATAGATCCACACCCCAAAGAGGAGGCTAGAGCAGAAAGAGAGAAACACATACAAAGGATTCTCTTAATTAAAACTGAAAGTTAGTCTTTACTGAGTGTTATTTACAGTGTGTGCATGGATAAGCGCAAGCATTTAGACTGTACCTTTTCGAAGAAATGCCCCATCATTGGATTTTTTGGGAACTTTTTCATAGTTGGCCATCGGATTTACTTTCATTGTGTTGAAGGTGCAGAGTTCCAATACTGTGTTGAGCTTTTCATTGTCCAAGTGCTTCCCAAGGAAGGAACATATCTTTAGTATTGACGCCCTGAGATCCTGTTGGACATAGTGCAACAAATTGTTTTGAACCTTGGTGCATAATAAGAGTAAAGCAGTTTGGTGACACTAAATAAATGAAATGTCCTAAATTATTTATTATCCATCCATTAAAGGTGCTAAATATTCTAGAATGAATAGATCCTCTCTTTTCCATATGGTTGGTACTACCAAGTTTTCTGAGGTTTGAGGACATTAAAATAATTAACAATGTGAGCTTCACAGGTTATTGCGGACAAGCTGGATTGTGAAGCACAGTGAATAGGAAATATTATAACATGAAGAATTGCTGCCATGTGATATAATAATAGGAGCAATCATTATCAGGTCACACCTCACAAGCTTCACCTCAATGGTCCTCAAAAGAATTACCTGGACAAGACAAAGCACAATTTTCTTTGGCTAGGATTATTAAAAAAAAGTGATTAGAGCTATACAAAGTGAGCCCGAATTTAGGTATTTTCCATGTTTCTGAGTAATCTTAAATTTTAACACAACATAGTTTTAACAGACCAAGGTGAAACTTCGGGTCTTTAAACTCAACTAATTTGGTAAGGAAGCACACCATCCTATTTGACTTTCATATTGGCTCCTCTGATTCCACAGGTCCTTATATATTGCAAATGTAACTGCCCCAGCACAGAACCCTGCGTTTCCATTTTAATCTAGTTCCCCTAACCACTAATCTCAGCTTTCTGGCCTTTAAACAGTGCTGTCAATCCACATCTATGTCTTATCTTTGATCCCTAGCAACATCAGTTTGTAAAAGTGTCTCTCCATGGAACCATAGAAACTTATAGCACAGGAGAAGGCCATTTGGCTTATCGTATTTGTGCCAGCTCCCTCATGAACAATCCTTTCAGTCCCATTTACCTGTCCTTACCCCATATGCCTGAAGCAGTACTTGCTGCCATTTACTGTATGAGGTTATTTTACACTTTGGAGAGTTGAGATGGTATCAGGCTGACTGAAACAGAAAATGTTTAGCTAAAAGTGATTCACTACCTTCTTCATTTCTTCATAAGTAATGTACATGAAGTTGAATTCATCCCTGTGATTGTACCATTCCCTTACGTGGTCAAACCAGGAGCTGAATTCCACTATCAGAGAAAACAACAAGAAAATTTCATTTGCATAGGCCTTTCACGTCATGAGGATGTCCCAAGGCGCTGGACAATCAATGTTTCGGACCCAAGCTGGGGGTTGGGTTTTGGGCAGTGATTTAAAACATTTAAATCAGTGTTAGCATCTCAGCATCCACAAGCCAACAATCTATAAGCATTGTATAATTAGAGATGATCAGATTTCATGTATGAATCAAAGTAAAAGTCCAGTGTTTAAAAGACAAGGCGCTGGACAATCAGTGTTAATAGGTATGATATCAGACACAAAATTATTATTATTCATTTACATATAAAATATATAATAATAGCTGAATATTTACGTGCACCATCAATGAATTTTTCCAGAAAATCTGAAAAATCCTTTGATGATTCATAGAAGGCAAGATGATTGTGGAAATGATATGATGACACTATTACATCCTTTGGATTTCGAGCAACATAAATAACCTGCAAAGAAAGAACCATATACTTTTAGTATAAAATAAAGTACATTTTCATGATGTGCTAAATATATTCCAATAATAGAAATAACACTTAATTTCAAATCAACCCATCTCTGTTCCCTAACTACTGTCCCATCTCCAACCTCCCTTTCCTCTCCAAAGTATTGGAAGGAGTCTTTGCTTGCCAGTTTCACTCTTTCTTATCCCTGCAATCCTTGCATGAACCCCTCCAGAACCTTGGTCTCTTGTTTGACTCTCAACTGTCTTTTACGCACACATCTGCGGCTTGACCCATTTAGCTTTCTCCCATCTAAGCAACATTGTCTGCTTCTACCACTACCTCTCCCCTCAGGCCACTGAGATCCTTACGCATGATTTTGTCACTTCCAGGCTTGACAATGCCAACTCTGCTTGCCGGACGTCCAGGCGCTATGAGCCTGTCACCCAAATCCTTGTCTGGCTCCACTGACTCCCTATTCCCAAGCGGATTGAGTTCAAGATCCTTGTCGTCACTTTTAAATTGCCCCAACTCTGCAATCTTCTAAATCCCTAACAACCTGCCCACTCCCTCCACTTGGCAGGCACTGACCTGCTTCATGTCTCCACTCTGCCCACACCACCATTGGTGGTTGAGCTTCCAGCCTTTCTGCTCCCAACTCTCTGCAATTTCACCTCGCCCCTTACCTCATCTCCTTCAAGGTCTATCTCAAGACTTTTCTCTTTGACTATGCCTTTGGTCATCTTCCCATCCCACCTCTTCTGAATGCAAATCCAATTCGATGCAAACCCTCGATTATTCAGCACCTTGGGACATCTTCCCGATGTGAAAGGTGCTATATAAATGAAATTTGTTGGTTTTTGTTACTCTTATTGTAATAGAGCATTGTGAAAATGATTGCATTAACTTCTCTTGATAATAATGTTTGCAATAATTCTTGCATTTAATATAGCACCTTATCACATGGTCAAGAACTCTCACAGCACTTCACTAATGAAAACATCCTGATTCTATTGAAACTTGCAAATTTACTAACCTTGTGCATTGGACAACTTGTTAGCAGAACTTAGCTTTACCATATAAAAAAGTCAGAGTAAAGGCTGCTAACCAGGGTGCAATGATCCAAGCCTGGAGTACAAGTACTTAGAATGATATAGCATGGAAACAGGCCGATTGGCCAATCAAGCCAATGCTGAATGGCTTACTTCTCAGTGCAGACATTGAGAAGGGGTTCGGGCTGAAAATAAGGAAAGCGGCTGCCTCCAGCAGACATGGGGACCAGCGGATGTGTCAAATATCATAAGGACACTAAATCAAAACACGTGTTAATCTGCACCATAGGTGTTCATTTTACAAATGAACTTATTGCAACATTGCAAAGTTCACTCCACAGATACAACTGGAACAGAATGCCAGGAAAGGTGATTGAGGCCAGGACACTGGATTTATTTAAAAAGCAGCTTGATGTAGGATGCAGGGAATGGTAGGGTGGGTATTCTATAGGGATGAGATCAGATGGGCTGCATGGCCTTCTTCTTTCAAACTAATCTTGTGAAATGTTGGAAATAGCCAATATGAAGCTGTTTTTTCGCCATTTTTTGGAGTGGGGGTCACAGCTGGTTGTCTGACACATGGCAAAATCCATCATCATGCTTAAGAGTATCCAAGGCAAACTGAGAGTTCCATACATCCCACATACACATTGAAATTCCAAAAATATTTATTGGAATGGAATACGCATTCTCTCCCTGGAGGGACTCATCCTGCTCACCTAATTACATATAATGTTAGGAACAGTTTGGCAAGAGCCAAGGCTTGGGGATGCCAGAGTGTGTGTTATGGTACTCCTGGAGTTTAACCAGCTAAAATCTCACAGCTTGCCATTGAAACTACTATCTGGCAAGCTATCTACTACTTATCCAGCTAGAACCATCCAACCCATTAGGGCTTTGGATTGCAGGGTTAACAGTAACTGAGAGAGAAAAGTCCTTGCTCCAGTGACTGGTCTGCCCTTCCAAGTCTTACCAATGAGTCAGGCTGGCTGTGCTGTCATTAGCAGTGCCATATAGGGATCCTGAAATCTCTTCATTTAGCGAGACATCAATCCTTCAATAATTTATACTGAGTTTTGTATTAGAAAAACATATCAGTTGTTAATACATAAACAGTGAAATAATTAGTAATATATGAAAACATTACATTGTAGAAATAACATTCTTACCTTTCCCTTTTTTTCTTTCAACTCCTTTGGAACTAAATGGTAGGGTAAATGGGTGACATTCAAGCGAGGTGATGGACGTAATTGAAAATTTGAGGGAGGCACCTCAATCCAAGGGACCCGCTTGTGTGCTTGTGTGTTTTGTACTTCAGTTGGGTCACCATCAGAATTGATCAAACTCACAATCTGCTGCATCCAAACAGTGCCTAATGTGTGAGACAGGAAAATAAATGGTAAGAACAATGATGTAAATAAGGCCCCATATGAGCAACAACATGCACTTATATAACATGCTTGTCATACTGTAATGTCTTGAAGTGTTTACAGAGTTAGATTGGAAACCTGAGCAAGGTGAACAGTAAGTAGGATAGTAGGGATTGACCAATGTTGAATATGTAAGCTTTTGAGGTATTTTCCTGTTATTTAGGGAAAGGTGTGAGGCAGAGGGATTTTTGGAAAGCGTTCCACAGAGTTGGGGTATAAAGGTTGAAAGCTCTGTCACCTATGGTGGGGTGGAGAGGGTAGTGAATGTGAACATTGCCTAGTTGGCCATATGTGGCCGCTCAAGCAACTGTTCTCACTTAAAAATGACATTCTATTTTCTAATTTGGAATTACAATTAACAGTAACAAATTACATTTGTATAGCGTCTTTCACATTGGAAGGACATCCCAAAGCACTGTACAGTTATGGGTTTTCACCTGAACTGGGATTTAGATTCAAGAGGGATGGAGGATAGGGGTGGTCAGGGTGGGAATGTGGCCGAAGGCACGATCAAAGAGGAAGGTCTTGAGACAGGCCTTGAAGGAGGCAAGGGAGGGGTCGAGGCGGAGGTAAACTATTAACCAGAATATTTTCTAATTGAAAGATCTAAATGAAATAAATGGTGAAATATGTTAAAATAACTAAGTTTTATAAGAAATAAATTGTTTAAAACATCATGGGCTACAAAGCCAAAGCCAGTGGATTCATCTTAGCAACTTCACACAGTACCATGGTGATTGGAATGAAAAGTAGAAAAAGGGCCAAATTCAAAGTTGTGTGAGTCTATCAGAGAACCTAGGTGTGTGATTGATACTGTTAAATCAAAACTGAAGTCCCCAAATGCTTTAAGACTAGTTGGGGTGAAAATGCAATGTTCCATGACTGATTTGAAGCAGCAGAATTTCAGTCATAAATTGTCAAATGTTTTCGGGAGTGAACAATCCCAACTCCAATGATATAGCGCCTCATCATGTCATTGAGACATCTAAACATGCTTCACAGAATACATTATAAAGTGGGTTGACTGTGTATTTTGGAACTGACGTTTTGACTGTGGTTTTACAGAATGTTAAATCAGCTAAATTGGTGTTTATGAAGCTGCACGATAATGTTGTCAATAAAAACAGTATCGGGAAAGTTGAAATCTTCACTATTCTTGACTCCGAATTTGGGAAGGTTGATTTCTAAAAACAGTGATCTTAAAGCTAAGGTATGAGCCTGAAATATTTGCTTCCTATCCTGCCACTGTGCGTTGCTCCGAGAAACTACCCTGCATGAAGAGTGCTATATAAATGCAAGTTATTGGTGTCATTGAGGCTTTCTTGCAGCTGGTTGAGGATGAGAGAAGATTGAAAGGATAAGCATGAAAAAAATAATCCCTCTAAATTTTGTTACTATTCTACAATGTAAATTCCTTACCGGATTTTGGGTATGTCACCACAAACACATCGCTATCCCTTATTTCGAAAAGTTCCAGTTGCTCTAAATGTTCTCTTGTGTAGATGGAGGAGACAAAGTTACATTTTTTGTACTGGAAATAAAAATCTTCAGTTTGGGCCATTCTGTCGAATAACCTACAATCAGAAAACAAGAATAATAATAATAATAATAATAATAATAATCCTTGCATTTGATATAGCGCTTTTCACGTCGGAAGGACGTCCCAAAACGCTTCACAGAACACACTGTAAAGTGAATTGACTGTAAATTTGTGGGCGAACGCGGCAGCCAATTGCGCACAGCAATGTCCCACAAACAGTCGTAGATTGAAAATGCCAATTTTATTATTGTTTTTGGTTTTGGAGGGATTATTATTAGGCGTGTGGAGTAAGGAAACTTGCCCAAGGTTTCGCCCTGCCTGGAATAAATGAATAAATGTTCTTCACCCAAATGTCAGGTTCTTAAAATTGGAAAGTACAATAAATTAATTCAATATTTTCTAAATAAGTGTGGATTGCTTCATAATAGAGATAATAGGACTGATAGGATTGCTTCTTTGGGCAAATTTTTTGTTCCACAATATAAATCACTAGATTCTTTTTAACAAGTTTTATTTAAAGATGTTCACAATTATCAAATTATGAATTGTGCCCACTCAAACCGAAACAATATACAAGAGTGGGAAATGGGATTAAAAATATAAAGAGCTGCTATGATCTAATGAAATAATGGAGCAGGTTCATTGGGCTGAATAGTCCTGCATTTCTTTAGTGTCCTGAAAGTATTCCTACAAACTGTCCTTTGGATGAGACATTAAACCAAGGAATCATCTGCCTGGTCAGAGAGATGTTAAAAAACCTATGGCACTATTAGAAAAGAGAATTGAGTTTCTCCCGGGATCCTGGCCAATAAACCCCCAAATAAAATTGGTTCTTCATTTTATGTATGTTTGTGGGACATTATTGTGTTCAAAACTGATTGCTGCATTCACCCACAAAATACACAGTTACTATACTTCACAGTAAAATCCTGAGAAACGGGTTGAGATGGCCCGCAAAGCGAAAGGCCCTACACCAAATCTAAGAATTATTATTGTTCCTACATTCCTTTGTGAGTGAAAGCACATGTTCAGAGAAGAACAACAAGGATGATTTGAGCATCTAAAAGCTTCTAGTTTATAAAGAGAGACTGGTGGAGCTGAATCTTTTCTCTGTAAAAAAATAAGATTGAAGGAAGGCATGATTCAGTTCTTTAAAATGATAAGATCTCGATGGCGTAGATGCAAGCAAGCTTGGACCATGAGAGTTGAGCTAGAGAGCATAGGTTTAAAAATAAAAGATCTTAAGTGGGGCAGTAGATTAATAAATTAATAATAATAATTTAGATAACTATTAATAATAAGATTAATATTTTGTCCCACACACAATGTAGTGGATAAATATGGAGTAGACTCCCAACAAAAACAATGGTGATGAATTATGTGCTTGAGAACAGTATTAGAGGCTACAGGGAACAGGCCCAGACTGAAATGAATAATACTCCCATGGGACAGAAGTATTTCTGCGGTGCAAGGAGGAAATGTTGCCTGTGAAGGGAAATAGGTTTTCTTTGTACTTGAGATGAAATGGGCAGGCTGAAGTTCCTATTGGATAGGCTTTGTGTGACTGTGGAAGGATTGGGCTTTGAGGGCTGAATAACCCAATCTATGCTTTTTTAAAAATCTTCTTAGGATAAACAATATAAGCCCTTGGCCAATAATATCTAACAAGTAGCCTTACAGTCATCATTGTGTTCATTCATTCTATGACTACAGAGGGAGGAGTCATATGATGATCCTGATAATTGTGTATCATTGTACAAAATTGGTCCTGGCACACCCCACACCACTTGCTCCATTGATGGATTGAAGCCATTGCCTCCTCGCGGGGAGGTAAGTGAAGGTTCTTTGGGATTGAATTGACTCTGAGGTGGCACGCTTGATAATGAAAGTTTGGAATCAAGTCAATTCTTTGTGGCAGTCTCAATAGTCTAGTACTATGCCAAGCAGTTCTACAAAACTCCTGGACATTATCGTTGAAGAATCAACCAGCATGGTGTTGAAATATATTGACTATTACCTCGGGATACATTGGTATATTTCAAACAGCAATCAAATGTTCCAGAAGGTTTAATAGTTAAATGGTTAAAAGTAGCTTTGCTGGACAGGCTGAGGTTAGCTTCTGATTACATTTCATATTTTCCTGGGAAGATGTTCAGTCCTCTGAGATAATGAGCAATCGGGTCCTTGAGTATAGTTGTAAGAACAATGGACCATAGAAAGAAAAGGCTGCAGCCTCAGACGCCTGCCTACTTCAAGGCTGAGAAACAAGCAGGCTGTGGAAGGCTGCCCAGAAGTTGTCCATATCTCTATCTCCAAAGCAGCCTACAAAAGGTGGGGGCTATCTCTGTGACAAGGGGAAGTGGAGTTAGAAACGCATAAAAGAAAGATGTAACTTTGAAATAGTTGGAGTTGTATGGAGGGTCAGCTGTGGAGGCAATAATTCGTAATGAGGAACCAGATATAATTGGGATTACTGAAATGTGGCTACAAAAAGAACAGGACTGTCAACTAAACATTGCAGGGTATAACATATTTAGAAAGGATAGAGATGGGAAAAAGGACGGTGGAGTAGCTGTACTTGTTAGGGATAATATCATGGTACAAGAAAAAAGGGACATAGCCAACAGTAAGATAGAAACAGAATCTGTGTGGATAGAGATAAAAGATAGAAGGGATCAATCACACAAATAGTACTACTCTGCAGACCACCTAACAGTGGAAGGGAGGTAGAGGACGAAATATGCAAGCAAATTAGGGACATAGAGTAATAATCATGGGAGATTTCAACTACCCCAAAATAAATTGGCTAGAAGAGGTAGGTAAAGTGGATAAGGGAATGGAGTTCCTTCAATGTGTACAGGACTCTTTTCTTACCCAGTATGAGGGCCCAACAAGAGGGAAATCCCTGCTGGATTTAGTAATGGGAAATGAACCAGAGTAGATAAGAGAAGTACGAGTAGGGGAACATCTAATAATAATAATATTATTATATTAGGCAATAGCGATCATGACTTAATAAGGTTTAAGATAAAGATTGAGAAGGACATGAGTACAACAAAGACCATGGTAATAGATTGGAAAAAAGCTGATTTTGAGGGGATAAGAATGGAACTTAGGAAAATAAACTGGAAAACAATATTAATAATAATAATCCTTGCATTTGATACAGCACTTTTCATGTCTTCTAGATGTTTCAAAACGCTTCAAACAATATACTGTGAAGTGAAGTCACTGTATATTTTGTGGGCAAAACGGGGCAGCCAATTGTACACAGCAATGTCCCACAAACAGTCGTAGATTAAAGTGACCAATTTATTATTGGGTTTTTTCTTGAGGGATTATTATCAGGCATGTGGAGTAAGGAAACTTGTCCAAGGTTTCGCCCTGCCGGGAATCAAATCCAGGTCTCTCGCTTGCCAGGTGAGTGCTCTAACCACTGAGCTGCAGGATTTCTATCGGCTAATATTGGCAAACAAAGAAATAGAGCAGCAGTGGGAAACATTTAAAACAGTGATCAATAGAGTCCAAGAGAAATATATTCTGCTAAAAAGCAAGACAAAGCTAAATAATATCAATCATAGAATCATAGAATCGTACAGCACAAAAAGAGACCATTCGACCCATCGAGTCTGTGCCTGCTCTTTGAATAGAGCAATTAATGTCAATCTCACTCCCCCAGTCCTTTCCTCATAACTCTACAAACCCGTCCTCCTCAAATACCCGTCCACCACGTTTTTAAAAGTTGTTATCGAATCGGCCTCCACCACCCTTTCAGGCAATGCGTTCCAGATTCGAACAACTCACTGCGTGAAAAAAGTTCTTCTCACCTCCCCTCTGCTTCTTTTTGAGACTATTTTGAATCTGTGACCTCGAGTCACCGACACACCCACCAATGGAAACAGTTTTTCCCGTTCTAACCTAACAAATCCCCTCATGATTTTGAAGATCTCTATCAGGTCTCCTCGTAACCTTCTCTGCTCCAATGAGAATAATCCCAGCCTCTCCAGCCTTTCCTCATAATCAAGGTCCCTCATTCCTGGTACCATCCTCGTAAATCTCCTCTGCACCCTTCCCATTGCCTTAACATCCTTCCTATAGTGTGGTGCCCAGAACTGGCGCAGTATTCTAACTGAGGCCTAACCAGTGTTTTATATAGGTTAATCATAACTTCCTGACTCTTGTACTCTATGCCCCTATTTATAAAGCCTAGTATCCCATATGCCCTTTTTACAGCTTTATCTACCTGTCCTGCCACCTGCAAGGATTCATTTACCTGCATCCCCAGGTCTCTCTGTTCTTTTACCCCCCTTAAGATTGTATTACGTAGCCTATATTGCCTCCCCTCATTCTTTCTACCAAAATGCATGACCTCGCATATCTCCACAGTGAAACTCATCTGCCATGTGTCTGCCCATTTTACCATTCTGTCTATGTCTTCCTGCAGTTGGCTACTATCCTTCTCATTGTTACCACCCTATCTAACTTTGTGACGTCCGCAAACTTGGAAATGGTTCTTGCTATACTCAAGTTCAGATCATTTATGTGTATCAAGAAGAGCAGTGGTCCTAATACCGATCCCTGGGGGATGCCACTGTACACTTCCCTCCAGCCAGAAAAGCAGCTGTTCACCACAACTCTCTGCTTTCTGTCTCCCAGCTGGTTCTGGATCCATGCTGCCACTGTCCCTTTTATACCATGGGCTTCTATCTTTCTTACAAGTCTTTCATGTGGCACTTTGTCAAATGCCTTTTGAAAGTCCATATAAACTATATCAACTGCACTACCTTTATCCACCCTCTCCGTTACCTCATCGAAAAATTCTATGAGATTTGTCAGACAAGATTTGCCTTTAACAAATCCATGTTGGCTGTCCCTAATTAACCCATATTCTTCTAAGTGAAGATTTATTCTGTCCCGGATTATAGTCTCCAGGAGTTTCCCCACTACTGATGTTAGGCTGACTGGCTGTAGTTCCCTTCTGTCCCTTTTTGTACAGGGGAGTCACATTGGCCACTCTCCAGCCCTCTGGCACCA